TAAATGGTAGTAATGATGCTGGCATTGATCTAATAATAGAAGCTAACATTTAGTGTGTGCTCTTTACCAAGCGCTGCACTTGATAAATGATATAATGACTTATATCATTTAAGCTTCCTGACACCCATTGGGGAAGTATCCTGTCATTCTGGTATTTTAGGTAGTGGAAGTGAGCTTGGCAAGGGTAAGTGGCTGCCCATGTTCACACAGTTAGTTAGTGATGGGGCAGGTGTTTGAGCACAGATGTGTCTGACCCCAAAGTCTATTTCCCACTCATGCACTCCTCCCCCGGATATTGCTCTTGCATTGCTGCTTCTCCACCCCTCATTTCTGCATCCTGGCTGTCACTCCTTGCCTGGAGCACCTGTTGCTCAGGAACCTGCTGGGACAAGTCTTCTGCCTCAACCTCGACATGCTCCTTCGGATGAATTTCTGGTGTTAGCCCTGCGGCCCCACGCACCAGGGTAAGAGAGACTCGCTTCCTGCCCTGGCCCGAGGGACCGACTGGCTGGGCCTGCCTTCTGCCCGGCTCACCGGTCGTGGAAGAGAGTTTGGACACACACTCTACTCTTGCCTGATGAACACAGTGTGCAGAGCCCGGTCCATTCCACTCACCCGAGTGCAGAGTCTATGAGTGAGGGCCTGGGTCCTGCTGGGAGGTTCTGTGCTGTTCACTCACTGCCCTTTTCCTGGCCAGTCTCTGCTCCCTAATGCCTCTCTGTGTAGAGCAGTTGTTAGATTCTAAGGAGGGGCCAACAGGCTTGGCTCCCAGGTCACACTGGTAGAGTCAGACTCATCCAAGTGAAAGAAATAGTATGACGTGTTTTTGTTTTTATAAGTCATCTTGTTATGCTGGGAGAGCAATTTCCTTCCTAAGAAATCAGATAGTCTTTACATGGTCTTTCTCACATCCCTGAAGCAAACGGCCACTTGGCTTTCTAAAATGAGGGTGTTTTCCTTGGGAGTCACAAGTAGCTGTGCCCTGTCAAGTCTGGCTCACCAATGTTGTGTCACCCAGAACTCCCCCCTCACCAGGAGATCTGCAGCCTTCCACACAGTGATGACTGAAACTTGGAGTCAGGACCCTGGGTGCCCTGTCAGATTCCCAAGTACACTGGTGATCTTGAATGTGATTAAGTTTGGTCTAGCATGATTGTTAGCCTGGAACCAGTTTTTAGTGATTTTGTGATTCCCATATGACCACTGGTAGTTCTTAACTCAGAGTTAGTTACCTTGTAGGATAAATGTTTAAAATAGTGATCATTAAACAAGCTGATTTGATTCACTAATTTGTATTAAAGTCATTACACATCTTTAGGAAACTGAGACTTAGGATGTTGGGGAAAGAAAGAAATATGCCATAAAAAATTTTTCTGGAAAAAAATTTCCAGAAAAAAATTTTCTGAAAATGTCAAATGTGGGCTTGCAAGAAAGAACAGATCAAGTCTCTTCTTGCCCTGACAAACTGTGGTTTCTTTAAGTAGCTGGAAGTTTACAGTTTCAGAGGTGTAGTACATGTAGACTCTGGGGAATACTCATTTTTATCTAATTGGTTGCTAAGTTCAAGTATCTATGGAAACAAGTATCCATTAGTATGTCAAGATAGGAGATTTGTTCTTTTTTACACTGCACAATTACATGGCGATGAGCATAGTGCTCCATGTATGGTGGCTTTTTGCAAGACCTGCCATAGAAATTGGCTTTCTTATGCTTACAAGAGAAGCAGAAAGCACACCTATTCCTCCCTCTGCCTTGAGCTGCCTCCACATTTTCAGAAACCAGTGATTTGAGAAACCTTATAATTGCTCTTCCCAGATTGTTGTACAGCCTCTCACCAGTGGTTTTATGAGCTCAAAGGCAAGTTTATTTTGAAAACCTTCTTCTGTATCATTTTTGTCTGTGTACATCAAATTTTGGCATTTCTTTAATATTGTTTCTATGTTACTATGGAAATTCTCAGGCGAGTGCTGGATTTTCTCCAATATGAATGTACTGATACCTCCCTACTTTGGTGGAAAGTAGTTTCTGGAATATGGTTAAGTCACCCGAAACTTTGCCTTTTTTTGTTTATGGCAGAAGCCTTGATAGCTTCTGCAAAGAATTGATAGCTTCTGCCTTCTTGTGGTTGAATCAAAAGATGGGAAAAGCTCCCTCTTTCTCTTTTTGTTTGTTTTCCTCAAATTCTGTTCCTAGAATTGTAATCTGGTGTCCAACATGTCTTAATCCAAGAAAGAGATATTCTGGCTAATTTTTTTTTTAAACTGTGTGTTTTTTCATTTAACTCTTTGCATGTGGTCTTTACTATTCATTTATTCTAAATAAATATCTGAGTTATTACTTTTACCTGGTACCCTAAGACCCAAGGATTATTTTAGTAATTGAGGCAGATATTTTTTTGTTGTGCTGGCAGGGCTCACTGTCTAGAAGGGGAGACAAAATTACCAGACAGAGCATAAAATTGGGCACTTTTAGTGGGAAAACCCTGGGCGTATGTGATCTTGGGGAAGGACCTGTGATTCAGCTTTGGAGGTCAAGAGGTTCTCTTGGAGGAAGTGATGTGTAAATTGAGACTTGAAAGATAAGCAGATGTGAGAGGAGGAGGATCAGGTTGGGGAAGAGTATTTTAAGGAGAGGAAACAACTTGTGTGAGGATTTTGGGTACTTGAGGTCATTGCAGAAAGAAAGCTAAAAACTAGTTTTATTCCTACTTAGCCCCAAAATCAGATATCAAAGAAAATCCTTGAAATGGTTTGACTTCATTTTAATTTTACCAACTCAAAACCAGAAAGGCAGTACAAATTCTAGGTATGTTTATGAACTCAGGTCATTCAGCCCTGGAGGAAGAAGTTGGGCATTGTCTGAAGTTTGCCAGGAGGCTGTGTTCATTAACGTCCCCTCTTGAAGTGTTCATGGATCTTAGCCAAGAATTACAGATAGGAAATAATGTAGAATTCTGCATCTCTCTGAAAAGGACTGCTCCTGACACAGAGCAGCAGACCTTCTGAGCAAAGGAAAGTCAAATGCAGAACATTTATTTCTGGAGGCAACAGCATCCCTAAGCCTGGACTGTGTGTCCTGAACTCCTTTGGGATAGTCCAGAAGTCAGAACTGAATTCTGAGTTTTTGAACACTGTTAACTCACTTGGTCACAGAGGAGCTGCAGACTAACTCTGATGACCACTGACCACCCACATGAGCAGTAGTCGAGCCTGATTCTGGAATCCTGGGTCATAAATAATTGATCTTGAGCAATGGTGGTCAGCCTATATCTGTCTCCCTCTGTGGTAGATAATGTTCAGCCGAGGGGTGTGCTCCTGTGTGCTGACACAGATTTTGATGATCACTCTTCCCCCAAAATCACTTTGAGGAGGAGTAAAGAACACTATGATAAGTATAATGGCAAACATGGTTAATGGCACATCATCAGGAAATCCCTATATTTGTGGGAGTAAAACAGTGGTTATCAAAGTATGACTCTTGGAATTGCAGCATCAACATCAACTTGTTAGAAATGTGTATTCTCAGGCCCACTTCAGACCTACTAAACCAGAAACTCTGCGGGTGAGGCCCAGCAGTTTGTGGCTTAACAAGCCCTCAAGGGGATTCTGATGCACACTGAAGTTTGAGATCCACTGGGGTAAATAAGACAAGCCTCAGGTAATGAGAGGATCCTGTGACTTATATTGATTGTCTGCCTGTGACTTCACCTCTTTCTCTCCACTTAAGAAAGCATATTGGAATGAGTGAGTGAGAGTAATGTCATTGTGGGACAGCCATTAATTTGTATAAGCTTATTGAAATATGTAAAATTTTGTTAACTCTGGTGCTTTAATTTTTATTTATTAATAACTCATGACAGTTGTCATAGCGATGGGGATACCACAATGGAGTGATGACATTCCCTTGCTACAGCCAAAACAGTGACTTTCTTTTTTGTTTGTTTGTTTTTAAATACACTAAGAAATATGCCTAAATTGCTTTCTAGGAGACACATACATGTGTGTATAACCATAACAAGTATTTCATGAGATAACATCCTTATGGTATTTTCTGTGCTGTTCTATTAAAAGTATGATGATAGAAACTTTTAAAACTTGATTTCATGACCCACCAAAGAAATGTGACCTGCAGTTTGAAAACCATTGTGTAGTGAGCTGTCCTGGCATAGACCCTGTCTTTAGAGCGGAGCAGTGAGTAGTGGGGAGGGGCTGTCTTCACTTCTGTGTCAGATGCAGTTGGCTTTCAGTCTCTCTTTCTGCTGCTCTTAGCTGTGTGACCTTGGGCAGTTTCCCTATATTCCCTGAGCTTTACTTTCCTGACCTATCAATGTGGATGGTAATACCTACCTCACTGAGTTGTGGTGACGGAGGAATGACAACATACTTCACATGATGACTGGCAGTGGTAGCTACTACCTTACTTGTAGAAATAGTACTAGTAGCATTCTTTTTCAGAACATCATCAGTTACATACATTTCTGTGGTAACCACCACAAAACAGTGTTTTACAAATTTCCCATACTCCAAAGAATAAGTACCCCCTACAGTCTATGCATTCAAAAATATTTTTGAATTAATTTTATCTTAAAAATGCATCCAAATTCTATACTCTATTCCAAAATACATTCAGATGTTGAGAAATATATATGAATATTTTGTTTCAATATAAAATTTAGTCTCCTTGCCCCCAGTCCTTAAGGACACAGACTGTAGAAGATGCCCCAAGTGGCTGCACATGCCCCAAGTACAACTGTGAGTAGGGGCACTTGGGAAGCATAGACTTAATGACTGTGTTTCTGTGGAAAGATGGTTCATTAGATTTTTCTTGAATATTCATACCTGTTGGTGAGCAGGGGCAGCATCTTCATGTATGTAGCTCTGTAAATTGGCATTTCAGATCATCCACGGACTCTGAGCAGTGAGCATGTGTGTAGTAGGGATTGGTCACCCGTGAGTCTGGATGTTGGGGCAGCCAGCTAATGTCCACTTGTCTCTCTGGAGGTCATGATCGTGGTTGGTGGCCAGGCACCCAAGGCCATCCGCAGCGTGGAGTGCTATGACTTCGAGGAGGATCGCTGGGACCAGATTGCTGAGCTTCCCTCCAGGAGATGCAGAGCAGGTGAGTCGCATGGTCTCCCAGTGTGCCAGCTGCCCCCCAGCCCCCACTCCCACACTGCAGGTCTCTGCAGGGTGCTGAAATTCTGCTCCCTGTTTCTGAAAACATTGTGCATTCCACACTCCCTTCCTTTCCCTTCCCCACCTGCACACTTTCTAGCTGTACCTTCTGGGGTCAGTTCTTATGTGCTTAGGGACTTCAGGCTATTGTAAATATTTGCTTGACACAAACAAAATTAGCAATGCAAATCAGGGAGGAAATCCAATGAGTCCTATAGTGACTTCCAAATATCACAAGTTGGAGATCACCTTCTCTGTTAAACTATCAGTATTTATATGCCTGCCTCATTCCCACACTGTCACTTATCAAAACGTGAGTCATCAGCCGTTTGAGATGACCTTGATGCCTTGGTTTCCTGTGCCTCAGGTGTGGTGTTCATGGCTGGCCATGTGTATGCTGTGGGCGGGTTCAATGGCTCACTGCGTGTGCGGACAGTGGACGTGTATGATGGGGTGAAGGACCAGTGGACGTCCATCGCCAGCATGCAGGAGCGCCGGAGCACGCTGGGTGCAGCTGTACTCAATGACCTGCTCTATGCCGTGGGGGGCTTTGATGGCAGTACTGGTAGGTCCCGGACTCAGTCACCATCCAGCCTGAGACATGCACTCCATGTTACTCTGGTTTGAAGCTTCCCAGGTGGTACAGCAGTAAAGAATCCTCCTGCCAATGCAAGAGACATAAGAGATGCAGGTTTGGTCCCTGAGTTGGGAAAAATCCCCTGGTGTAGGAAATGGCAACCTACTCCAGTATTCTTGCCTGCAGAATTCCATGGACAGAGAAGCCTGGCAGGCTACAGTCCAAGGGATCACAAAGAGTCAAACATAACTGAATAACTGAACCCACCACCCTGGTTTGCTCAGCCAGCTCTTGGACCAACCTTTGGTCTCTCTGTAGCTATTGTTCCAAGAACATACCCATCCTTCCTCCTCTCCCAGCTTGTGTGTCAGAGTTACCCCTTCCTACACACACAATACTGTCCATGTGCTGTCATTTCTAGGTTCCAGGAAGTACCCCACTCTCAGAAGAGGCCCTTTTTTCCTTTCTAGTGTCTGGGAACTCACTTATTCCACAGATAAAACATAGAGCAAGCTCAACTGGAGGGGTGTCTCAGGATTGTGATCTGAACCCTCTGCTGAGCAGATGGGAGAGCTGAGGTTCCGTTGTGGGAAGAGACTTGGCTTGAGTCACACAGCCTTTGTCCATTGCCCTTTCTGCTGGCCCATTAAAGCTGCGCAAGGCTGTGACACTGCAGAAGCGTCTCCTTGCTCCTGGTGTTCATCTCACTCCAAAGTCAGAATCAGAAACTATTAATACTGGTGGACATGGACTTGGAGAAATTATCTTATCTCTTCTTATATCTCCAGGTGGATTTCTCTGTAAACACTTAACTCTTTTGGTCCCCAGTGACGTGAAAAACAATATGCTTTATCCCTCTGAAATTTCATTTCTTTCTTCACTAGTTGGTAACATTTTTCAACCTTCTCTTTGCCTCCTTCATGTAATTCCAAGTTATATAGCCCCTCCAGAGGCTGCTTCTAGTGAGGGGGGACTGGGAATAAAGAGAACAAAGGATAGTGGGGCATTGTTTCTTTTAGGCATTGCTTTTGACTGCTAGTAGAAAACCTGACTAAACCATAGCTTAAACAAATGAGAGCTTTTGTTTTACTCGTGAAACAAATTCAGAGATTGGCAGTTGCTGGCTTGGTTTATTTGTTCAAGGATCTTGCAGAGTCTCTTAGACTTGTCCTCATGGTCACAAGGTGGCTATTATAGCTCTTGCCAATACATTTGTATTCCAGGTAGCAAGAAGTAGTGGGGTCGGGGGAAGGGGGCAGGGCTGAGAAGGGGGGGCTCTTATCAGAAAAGCAAAGGCTATTTCAGAAATCCTGCTTAGATTGCATTAACTTGGTCACCCCCAGCTCTAAGGAAGTCTGGGAAGACAGGTTTTCATCTTTCTAGCCTCTAAAGTTGAGGAAGACAAGGGGAAAGAGGGTTGAAATAGGTGTTCAGTGAGGCGATCTCAGGTACGTAGTCCATTCGTGGTTGTATGATTTACTTTATACCCTCAGCCCTCTCACAGCCCACTCTCTAGGTCAGGTCTTAGTGGTCCCCTCTGGCAGACACACTGCAAGTGTGTTTGTGGAGGTGCCGCAGGATGCATGGTGAGGCAGAGGTAGTGCTGAGTCATGCTCGCCCGGGTTTTCGGCCCCCAGGTCTGCACTCTTCCCCCATCCTCACTCTCAGGGTGAGGCCTGGCGCCATAGAAACATAGAAACCTCACAAGTCGCTTGTCTCCCAGGCCTGGCGTCGGTAGAAGCCTACAGTTACAAGACCAACGAGTGGTTCTTCGTGGCCCCGATGAACACGCGCCGTAGCAGTGTGGGCGTGGGCGTCGTGGAGGGTAAGGCTTCTGTTCCTGCCCTGGCCCCCGGGCCTTCTCCCGGTGTCCTGGCTCTGTTCCTCCCCTTACTGAGGAGTTGGGTACTAGTATTCTGATTAGCGGATGAGAGGAGTTAAGACTCAGAGAGGTGTAGCTACTGGCCCATGGCTAGAAAGTAGGTGAACTAGACTGGGGGTACTGGGAGGAGCCTAGAGGGAAAATGCTGGGCTCTCGTTTTGGCCGCTTGTCTATATTACAGGTTGGGGAGTCCAGGGTCAAGATGTAACCTGGGAGTTTAGTGTGTGTGTGTGTGTGGGGGGGGGGTGAGAGTCAGTTATTCAATCGATTTTGTCCTCATATTTTATGTTGAGCATTGTCAGCAGAGCTTTGAGTGATGTAGGTCCCTTTCCCCAGTTCTGATTAGTCACTGAAGGGTAGGTTGGTGCTGGATCCTGCTTGGTCAGGAAGGATATGTGTGGTGAGGTAGGAGGAGTGGTGAGGTCTGGGGCCTGGTTAGACAGTGCACTGGAGCTCTAAGTGCCTTCATATCCAGTTTCTCATTTTGTTCCTAAAATTCTCTTGAAGGGGAAGGGCAGGACTTAGATTTTCTCCATTCTCCAGAAGGGGAAACTGAGTCCCAGAGGAGTAATCAGTGTGCCTGTCCCACACTGGTAGACAGCGCAGCCACTCCTTGAACCCAGATCTCCAAATTCTAACTCAGACCATTAGCAAATGTTATTAATAATTGAGAGGAGTTTTAGAAATATGTATGATTTCAACATATTAAAGCATAGAGTATTATTTAGACTAAACTGTTACACTTCGCAGGGCAACACTGATTCATTAGCCTGTCTTGAAGTGGGAATTTAGCTGAAAATCTATGCATTCACACAGGTACACAGGCATTTCCTCTCTCTCACGTGTACACACAGTTCATACACGTGCTTCGGGGAGAGTGTCGGGCAGGGAGTTAGACATTAATAGAAATGTAATTTTCTCTTGCTGCATTTCTTGGTCTGTGCCAGTGTAGTTTAAATTTTAATTTAAAAGTATATTGTTCTAATACACCAAACAAGTCACCTTAGTGAGTGCAAGGATTTTGTCCTCCTACCAAGATAAATTGTTTCTTGCAATCTCATCCTTCTGGTGAAACAGAAATTGATTTGTCTGCCAAGCGTAAGTGCTTTGTCTAACCACCTTCCCATTTCCCCCCTTGCTCCTTAGTCAGGAATATCAAACAATAGAGTAGGGGTTAAAAATAGCATATCCCTGAAAGGAGAAACCTTGAGTGGATATTTTTTCAGCTGACACAGGGTTGAGATGGTTGATGGGAGTTAGAGGAGATGCCTTCATGGTGCTCATCAGAAATACTCCTCTTGACCCCCTTGACAGAGGCTTCTGTAAGCATGCTCTGCATGGCAGAGTGCTGTGTGGTAGCACACCCTGTTGACATGGAGGACAGACTGGGGGATTATTTATCTTGTCCATCCTGAATTTGAAGCTCTTTCGGCTGCAGATCACCCTGGGGCCGCAGAGTCCAACGGGCAGCTTTGGTGGGCGTGTTCAGGGAGTATCTTCAGTGGATGCTACTTTCCCCGAGGCCCTGCAGATACAGCCCCCCACATGGTCTGCACAGAACCCGCCTCCCTGTCCTCATCTCCTTACCACAGCGTCACAGCCTGATCGACAGCTGGGGACAGGAGCAGGAAAACCAGGATCAATAGCTACCAGCTGCCCTGAAGAATCTCTATGCAGGAAAAGGGACAGTGAGGCTGAAAGATGAGGCAGAAGCTCCCAATAGAGCCGAGATGGTGTGTTTTAGAGACTGGGGTTGCCCTCAGGAGCGTCTCATTTCCTCCACACCCCTGGCCTGTCTCCTCCCTGCTGATGGATAGCTGTCCAGGCAGGTGCTTACCTCCGAGCCAGCACATACCCTAAGAGTAGCCTGGGTCCTGGGGGAGCCTGTCTGAGTCAGGGTTCTGCTGTCTGGCTAGAGAGCAAAAGGGCCAGTTGAGAGGGCTCTGAGGCAGAAAACAAAACCAGGCTCAATGATAGAAGAAGAAATAATTTTACATTTGGTGCGGAAAAGTCTTGATGGTAGAACATGGTTCTCAGCCTGAGAATCTCTTTCTGACTTAAAATAACTATAGATTTTTCACATACTGGTTGTATTCTTGGTGTCTCTCCATTAAGAAAGTGTATATTGACCAAAAAGAATCTTTTGATTAGGTAACCTTTTAAGTAGATTTGCATCTGGTGGTATTTATTTAGCCTGTAGCTAGTATACATCCTTACTATATACTTATTATAGTGTAGATCCTTATTATAACTCCAAGGTCCCCCATAGAACTGAGATCTCAGATGAAGTAGGACCCCCACACCCAACACACACACACACACACACACACACACACACACACACAGAATCCCACTGCATTCTAAGACTACATGTTAAATCCAAATGTTTGAATCTCTCTGAGAGAGCTCAAATACCAGTTTCCTGCCCCCTTGCCCAACCTCACCACCATCCCTAGGCCAAAATGATGCTCTTTGATAATAGCTTATGGTACTTTATTTTAAAAATAGGTGATGGTCAGCAGAAAGTAACACAACATTGTAAAGCAATTATTCTTCAATTTTTTTTTTTAAAGTTTAACTTGAATGTAATCCAGTAGATCAATATTTTTCTTCAGGATTACACTTTTTGTTTTTGGTTAAATAAACCTTTGCCTATTCCAAGATAAAGAAAAAAAATAGATGATGGTACTTCAGGGTTCTTGTGTATGGCTCAGAAATTGTAAGGGGATCTACAGATCAATTCCAGCCACTCCAGCCCAGAGTGCACACAGAGCACTCCATTCACATGCTTTGCCTGCCTGGGTTGTGGATAGAGTACAAAGCATGGTGAAGACAACCTTTGGGTTCCTATTGGAGAATATCTTTCTATATTTGTTCTGTCTGCTGTTGTGAGCCTTTAACCAGAAAGTCTGCCAGCCTGGCTGCAGCGGGGGCCCTTAAACTTTCCATCTCCCCGGCGCCTTGTTCTGGAGAAGATCTGATGTAGTTCACCAGTGAGAATACATTGAGCCCTGGTGATGCCAGGCCATAGTTTCGCATTGGGTGTTTGGGGTGCTTTTTTAGATAAAGCTTCAGTACTGCTTTGAGGAGGAGCCCAGGGCTTAAGAGGAAGTAGGAGGCAGAGTCATGAAGGATGCTTGCTCTGGCTGGGGAGTAAGTCGGTTGGTCTTCCTGGGGAAGGAGACCCGAACCCTGATGAAGGTGAGGGTGTGCCAGCGGGTTACAGGCGGAGTTTCAGCTACTCTCCAGTTCCATGCCAGGGTCCGAAGCACCCCCCACCCCTGGCCACTTTGTCTGTTGCAGGGAAGCTGTATGCCGTCGGGGGCTATGATGGGGCCTCTCGCCAGTGCCTGAGCACCGTGGAGCAGTACAACCCAGCGACCAATGAGTGGACATACGTGGCGGACATGAGCACTCGCCGCAGCGGCGCAGGTATGGGGTAGGGGTGGGGAGTCGGAGTCCAGGGGGCAGGCCGTGTTTGTTCTCACCTGTGGGTCTGGAGGCCAAGAGCTTAACGTTCTACCTTATTTTCCCTCCCTCCTGTCTGCTTTCAGTATTTCTAATCCCACTCGCACCTTTGCAGCAAGTTAACCTTTCTCAGGGGGATCCCTTTGTAGAGAACCAGTGGGATCATATTCCCTTCATCGTCATCTCTTCCATTTGTTTGGAGATGTCCACATTTCTTGAAAGTGAAACTTGCTGTTGCCAGGTGCTGTCCTAATAAGCACTATCTATTCCTCATTTATATTAAATCCTCATCACAGCCCTGCAGGAGTTCACAATATAGCTCACACAACGTAACTCCACTCAGCAGATTTAGAAAGTGAGTCAGCAGGGGTTAGTTAGCCCAAGGTCCTGTCATTCGTCATTTTAATTAGTCACTGGCAGAGTCAGGATTCCTACTCAGGTCTGTCTCCCTTCAGAGTTATCTTTTTCTGACCTCAGATTATCTGAGTCTCATTCTTATGAAGTCTCAGTCTTCCCTGGAAAAGCTAAAGCTTGCTTGTCTTTGTCTTAGGGGGTCAAAAGTCAGGTTTGTATTTGGAGATAAACTGGTGTCTCTTCCCCAACTTTCTTCACATCAGCCCCCTTCCTGATGTGGGAGGAGACTAAATCCCCATGTGTGGCCCACTTTGGCCTCCTGGGGGAAGACCAGGAGCTTTGGGATTTTCCAGGAAGTGGAGCAGCAGCCCCGTCTTCCCGGCTTTGTCTGCCCCGTCACCTGGGGGCCCAGAGGCAAGGGTCTGGGAGGGCAGACGGAGACGCTGGGGGCTGGGCACCGGCTCTCTGCGGCAGTGGTGACTGGTGACCACCCCGGCTGGCGGGTAGGCCATGTGACTTCTGGGAAGGGAAGCCACAACTGAGAGCTTTTCCCCACAACGTTATTACTTTATCTTTTTTGTATTTTTGAAGTTTGAATTGTGATCTCATTTTATACCACCAAATACATGACCACTTCCTCAGCATTCCTTGAAAATTAGGCTGTTTTATTTATTTATTTTTTTTAGGCTGTTTTAATATTTTTCAAGAATCACTGTATACTCACTCATTAGTTAGAAAAAGAAAAAGCTGTATGATTCCATTTAAGAAGCATTTGTGTTTGGAAGGCTATTTTTAGGGAGCTTGTCTCTGCCCATCCTGACAGGTTGGCCCTTCCTAAACATGCACGCAGCATATGCGTGGAGGGCAGGAGGTCTGGACCTTGGTTCTGGGTCCACTCGAGCGTGCTATGTGGTCTTGGCCTCCACTTCCTAAGATGTGAAATGAGTGAGTTGCAGTAGGTGTTCCCGAGGGTTCAGTTCAATTCACAAGTCTCCTGATTCTCCTTCCTTCACAGGGCTCTTTTAGCAATTTCAGTTGATAGTATTGCTGGTCTTCTTTGCCCTTACTGGAAATCCTATGTGTGACTGAGGTGTGAGAGCAAGAGGTCACAGCCAGGAGCAGGGCAGCTCCTAAGCAGCAGAGCAGCTCACTGAGGTGTGTGTTCCTGGGGGCACCTGGAGCAGAAAGTGTGCAGGGTCAGCCCTGAGCAAAGCTGAGCACAAAGCCACCTCAGAAAGTTCAGTCTCCTCCTGTGGAGAGAGCTGCCTTTGGAGGCCTCACTGCTCTGTGTCAGGCTGCCCAGGGGTCACTGCTGAGTGAATGTCCCTCAGGCTGCTTGTGCCTCTCACCTGGGCCAGAGGCCCTGGATGGTGACGAGGGAGGCACAGTGACCTCAATTCAGGGGACTGTCTCTTTCCCCCAGGTGGATTCCTTCCTCAGTGCCCTGGCCTCAGGTTCCTGGGGCAGCATTTCTTTAGTGCTTCACCTCCCTAAGATTCAGGGAAGCCTCCCCTCTGGAGTTGGGCACCCGTGTACTTGCCCTAGTAGGTGTTCTTTAGTGACTAGAGACCCAGAGACCCTGGCATGGGGGCTCACACTGTGTTCACCTCTGTGTGAACTTCAGAGGAGAAGGCCGCAGAAGGGCGCAGTGTCCCTGATTGCCTCCTCAGCAGGGGTGGGCAGTGCCAGCAGATGGCTGTGCGGAAAAGAGGCCATCTCTAGGTTCCAGCGTGTGCTCGTTCCTCTGCACATGGAGCAGGGGAAGGTGAGGCAGCTTGGGAACACACTGAATTGTATTTATTAACACGAGTCCATCAGATAGCCACTGTTGATGCAACACCACCATCTGCTGTTAGTTTAGGGCAACTGCGAGGAACCATTTGCACACTCGCATAATTACTGGTGGAATTTTATATGTCTTGTCATTCAAGCAGTATTTGTTGAGAACCTACTACGTGCTGTTAGGCACAGGGCAACCTACATGATAAGGCAAGCATGGTTCTCGTCCACGTGAACTTTATATTCTGGAACTTGAGACCTTGGGTCTGAAACTTGGCTGCACGTCCCAATCACCTGAGGTACTTTTTCTGATTCCTGGCCAACGTCTCTGGGAGTGAGGCTGTGGAAATCTATATTTTCAAAAATTCCCCAGCTAATTGAGCTGCAGCCTGTCCATGGAGTGCAGTAGTCTGTGGTCCACTGGAACTACCCATTTAGTCCAGCTTCCTCACTACACATGCGGGAACCAAGGCCTCGAAAGGGCAACACCACCTGGTGGGCAGGTTGAAGACACAGGTCCAGAACCCAGGTATTCTGGCCACCGCATCAGCTGCCCTTCCTAGGGCACTGTGCCACCCACCTGCTTTCTGGATTTTATTTCCTTGACTTGTATTGTTGTTCAGTCTTGTCCTACTCTTTGTGACCCCTTGGACTGCAGCACACCAGGCCTCTCTGTTCCTCATCATCTCCTGGAGTTTGCCCAAGTTCACGTCCATTGTATTGGTGATGCCATCCAACCATCTCATCCTCTTGTATTAAAGGGTGACATCCTCTTGACTTGTATTAGAGAATGTCAAAAGGTTATGCTGAAACCTATAAACGATGCAGTCCTGTCCCTCAGTTTAGGCTTATCACCACTGAGAGTGATTCAGGGCCCTTCTGCCCCTTAGGAGGAGAGCCCAGGGGCAGAAAGGACAACTTCTGATTCCAGATAAACAGGGAGGTCTCAGCAGTCATGATCTCAGCACACCTGCTGTGTAGTTTCCATTTTAAGTCTCTTTAATACACACACACACACTTATTATATATATTTTTACATGTCTTTAAATAGAAATGAGGTCATATTTGCCTTCTATTTGGAGGTTTTCTGGTTGGCGATTTTATGAGGCAGGCAGGGTGTCATTATATTTGTTTTACAGACGAGGACCCTGAGTTACAGAGAGACAAAATAGCACTCCCCACGTCACTCTGCCGGTGATGGCTGTCCAGGACGGGTGCCAGGCCTCCCGGTTTCTGGTTGTGGCAGCCAACCTGAGGCTGCGACTCTGTGCTCTGCCTTTCAGGGGTTGGGGTCCTCAGTGGGCAGCTGTATGCCACAGGTGGGCACGATGGGCCCTTGGTGAGGAAGAGTGTCGAGGTTTACGATCCTGGAACAAACACCTGGAAGCAGGTGGCAGACATGAACATGTGCCGACGCAATGCAGGTAATGTGATGGCTCCTCCCTCTTTTCCTTGTGGGGAGGTTGTGGGTGTTTTCTCCTTGCAAACACTGGCCCTAAAAGAGGCAGAATGGAGAGCTCCCATGGCCTGGGACTGAGCTTGTATCCTGAGCAGGGAGTGTCCATTTGCTGGGCAGGGAGAGCATGGAACCCCCAAAGCTAGCCAGAGGGCCCCCTCTCAGAGGCAGAAGGTTCCTTCCCTCCCGGTGAAGCATGGTGACTTTCACCGCACATGGATGGACTCAGGCCCGGAGGAGCTGTGTGCCCAGGCCCAATGGCTTTGTTGAGTAGCTAAGCCTAGGGCTGTGTGGACAGGGCCACACAATGACACTTGGTTCTATCTTTTCTTTGCTGCTGTCTGGCTAAAAGAACCTCTCGCTTTCCCCCAGAAACTGATTTCCTTCCTTTCAGTGGTATCCATGAAAGGATTTGTGATCCATTATCCAAAAGGACCACTTTCCTTATTCTCTTGTTTGTATTTCCAGTCTCTCCTTCCCTTCCCTTCCCCTCCCCTTTTCCTTCCTGTAGGAATGATTTTTGTTAGAGCGTTTAGATTTGTTCCTGGAGGCTGATACCTCTATTAAACCATTTCCCTTTAGACCTTTGCCCTATGGGTCGTGTCTTATGTTGGTATGTCTTGCTTTCTGCCTTCTCACTCTATCCAAGTGTTGGCTCAGCCCAGCTTCCCTGGCTGGAAATATAAGCGGGTGACTTTCAGGCATACTTATTTCCTTTATACTCAAATTACCTGCTCAGTAAACCCATTTGCAGCTGACTTGTTGAAAGTGTAAATAGAGGGGAGTTTATTAATTTGCTCATTGTCTAAGCCTGCTGTGATATAACCTGACATTTGGCCTTGAGCCACATGAATGAGGAATTACAGAACCTTCAAGGCAGCTAATGCAAGAATTCGGTTTAGATGTAAATGTACTTGTATGCTCACATTCGCAAATAGATATTTCTATTTTTTATGACAAAAATGGAATCTTTCTGTAATACTGCTTTATTAAAACTTGCCTTTTTAGATCCACTTTCCAATCTTTTATGAATATTTTATTATAACACTAAGCCTATTTACATAATATTATTTTAAATGGCTGTAACATAATTTAAAGAGCCAGGCTGCTATTGGACATTTAGGTCATTTCCATCTTTTCTGTAAGTAATGCTTTGGTTATTATAAATAGCCTTTATAGCTAATTAATGCACACATTTAAAATTATTTCTTAGAATAAAAGGTCAGAAGTGAAATCTTGGATTCAGAGGGAGTATATGTGTTCCTGACATCACCCAGGAAAGTGGTGCCTTTTATACTCACCAGTATTTGAGAGTATGTTCACCAACACTGGTAATTACTACCTTCTGAGCATCACCCACCCCTGAATTGGGCTTCCCTGGTAGATCAGGTGGTAAAGAATCCACGTACAATGCAGGAGACCCCAGTTCGATTCCTGGATCCAGAAGATGCCCTGGAGAAGGGACAGGCCACCCAACCCAGTATTCTTGCACTTCCCTGGTGGCCCAGACGGTAAAGAATCCACCTGCAATGCAGGAGACCTGGCTTCAGTCCCTGGGCTGGGAAGGTCCAGGATTCTTGTCTGGAGAATCCCCATAGCCAGAGGAGCCTGGTGGGCTATAGTCCATGGGATTGCAAAGAGTCGGACATGACTGAGCAACTGAGCACACAGATGCTGCTGCTGCTGCTGCTGCTGCTGCTAAGTTGCTTCAGTCGTGTCCGACTCTGTGCGACCCTGTAGATGGCAGCCCACCAGGCTCCCCTGTCCCTGGGATTACAGATCCAGGCAAGAATACTGGAGTGAGCTGCCATTTCCTTCTCCAATGCATGAAAGTGAAAAGTGAAAGTGAAGCCCCTTGGTTGTGTCTGACTCTTAGTGACTCCTTGGACTGCAGCCTACCAGGCTCCTCCATCCTTGGGATTCTCTAGGCAAGAGTACTGCACAACCCCTGAATTAGGGCTTCCCAGGTGCAAAAGTGGTAAAGAATCCAGCTGGCAGTGGAGGAGACGTGGGTTCAGTCCCTGGGTTGGGAAGATTCCCTGAAGGAGGGCATCGCAACCCACTCAAGTATTCTTGCCTGAAGAATCCCCATGGACAGAGGAGCCTGCTGGGCTAAAGTCTGTGGGGTCGTAAAGAGTTGGACACGATTGAGCATCTGAGCACATAATCCCTGAATCTTATTTTGAAAAAAGACACAGAATATTGGACTGTGGCCTTTTAAAGTCTTGATGAGCAGTACTTACATTTTCCTACTCTTGAGTCCCTGTTACATGAGACCTTGCCCCCAGACCTGCTGCCTCTGAGATCAGGGTGGGTAGAAAACCTTGTGCCTGAAAACTGTTTGTGGATTTAGACACCAGTTGTGTGAAGGGATCATAAGAACAAGCATTAGTGCCCCACAGTGTTGATGACACAGGGCTTATCAGGGAAAGCAGAGTAGAGGTGGTGTGGGTGAGATCCCCTGAGTTGTCTTCTTTCTTAGCTCAGACTGAGCGCGGGAGGCCTGTGCGCCCTGTGCCTGTACCTATGGTGCTCCGTGCCTATTTATAGGGTCAAGAGCTGGGGACATCTGTGGGCCTGTATCCTTGTGAAAGCCGCCTGGTCAGAGAGATGACCTTGTTAGGAAGGGGGCTCCTCAGAGCCCAGTGACTGTTGGGTGTTCATTCATTGAGCAGACTTAAACCTGAGGAGCCAAGTATCTATTGTGCTACCACAAAGGGAAGGAAGAGTGACCCCGGGGCAATCTAGACTTGTGCTCCTGCTCTCATGCCTCCTCTGGCCTCTATTTGATTCCCAGGGGTCTGTGCAGTGAATGGGCTCCTATATGTGGTTGGAGGGGATGATGGATCCTGTAACCTGGCTTCGGTGGAGTACTACAATCCTGTTACTGACAAGTGGACGCTGCTGCCAACCAACATGAGCACAGGGCGGAGCTATGCAGGTCAGTGGGTTCCCCCCCACCCGCACCCCCACACTGGGGCCGGGGATGGGGTGGGGCAGGTGGGGCCCAGGTCAGTTTGCTTAACTTGGGATTGAGTGCCTCCTCCAGGGATGGGAGGTGATTGTCACATGTCACCACTCCTTCATGCTGTGCCCACGACAGATACCCATAATTAGCACTCATTTCCCCAGTGAAGTTGAAGGTAGCCTCTGAACTGTTCTTAACAGTGTTCCAGGGAATCCGTTCCAACTGATCTGAGTTGTCATAAGAGGTTTTAGAATTTCATTGCCCTTCCTGACCAGCCTCCAAAACCAGGAAATACAAGATAATGTACATGTAAATTCTAAAGGAAATGTGCTACACAGGCTTTAGGACATGACATGTGAGAAGTGGCAGAGTTAGGGAATACTTCCTGGAGGAGACGAAGCCTAATTAAACTTGAAGGCTGGGTCACAGCCACACAGATAGCTGTTTTTTGCCAGGTACCCACTCCCTGCACCACAAAGCAGTGTGTTAGATATGGTAACTATTCCACAGTTTAGCTGTTTCCCCTCATGTCAGACATTAAGTAGTTCTCAGAGTCTTCTTTTGCTATGATAAATAATGTGCCAGTAAATAATTTTGTTTATAAATCTTTACCTACAAGATACTCTTTTCAACAATGCTCTGGTTGAATGAGACTGTATACTTCCATTTTATAGATTATGAAACTGAGGTTTGGAATGTTTAAATAATCTGTCCAGGATCATGTGACTAAAGAAAGTGTCAGAGTCAGAATTCAAACCCAGTCCTAAGCCCGTGCCTTTTGTGCTACCATAACTCAGGGTTAGCGGGTAAAGCAAGAGGCTGGAGTGGGGAGGGAGGGATGAAGCTGCTGTCGAGGCTTTTTTTTTTTTTTTTCACGTGTGAAATCAGTTCCCTGACCAAGGACTGCACCCATGCCCCCTGCACAGGAATCACGGAGTCTTAACCACTGGACGGCCAGAGAAGTGCCTATGGAGGCTTATTCCTGGTAGGGGGTGTGTGTGACAGTTTTGGTAAGGTGCAGGGCACAGGATCAGAGTTGGCGGGGCTGAGGTCAAGGGTCTCTAGGGAGACAAGCAAATATATCTATGTAGCTCAGCTTCTGGTTCTCCAGAAACTGGAAGAGTTAGAGCTAACATTTATTTATTGAGCACATACAATATGCCAGTCATTCTCCTAAGTATTTTATGACCATTATCATTCACTATGACTCCAGTGGTATTCTTATTCTGTTTTTCATTAGAAAGGTCATTATTCCATTTTGTTTGGATTTTAGTGCAAAGGAAGACTATGCCATGCAGGCTCAAAGGGCTTTGTATGCCGTTCTGTCTGCCCAAGGCTTCAATTAATGAACTTATTTTACCTTTTTTTTTTCTCCTCATTGAGGATTTTTATCAACTAAATAGAAAAGATTTCAGGGCATTCTGGTCCTAGAGTGGTTCTGTTCTCATTGTTATTTATTAAAACCAGCACTTTTATTTTCTCTCTGAAGCTGAAGTGAAAAGTGCAGGGCATTTTCCTATGTGAGGCAGGGAGGCCAGTGAACGATGCCCCCTTGGCTCCATGTGAGCCTTAATGAGAGGGGAAAGTGCAGGTGTGAGTAGTTAGAGTTTTGGGTATGTGCTGAGTATTTCATGTCCATTTCTTTACTGTCTGCTTACTCCAGAAGTAGGTGGGAATGAAACGAGCAGATGTGCAGTTTATGTTCAAACCCATTGACTGAGTGAATCTGTTATCTTAGAATCTAAGGAAATGGCCTGACATGCAAAGATTTATGGACAAAATTATTTATTGGGGCATTATTTATTATAGCAAAAAACTGAGAACTACTTATTTTCAGATGTGAGGGACATAGCTAAATAAGCTGTGTAATATTTATACAGTGGACTTGTTTTTAATATGAGAATATGTTTGTGACAGGCTGTTAGGTTAAAAAAAGGATGATGCAAAATGCATGTACCATGTGAGCTCGGTTGAGCAGTCCTGGGTCAGAGGGGTTGGAGTAGCTCCTGTTTACAGAAATGGATATTGGAGTCACATCTGAATTCAAGTCCCAGCTTTGCCACTAGCCCTGGGCCTCTGGGCAAGCCAGTCAGTCTGATTGAACCCCTGTTTTCTCATTTGTGAAATGAAAATAAAATCATATCAAGCCTCTTGGGGCTGTTGTGAGAATGAAATGTGAGAATATGTGGAAAGCACCTGGCACAATGCCTGTCTGGCAGGTAGAAACCTCTCAGTGGCTGATTATGACTATCATTAGAAGTCAGGGTATATTCCAAAAAAGAGAATGGTGATTCTCTTTGTATGTAGGGATTAATTTTTTTTTCTTGGTGTTCTGTGTTATCTAAAATTTCCATAATGGGAATATTTTATTTTATAATCAGAAAGCTTATATAAAAAGCAATGCAGGAGCCTGCTTTTTAAAGAAATGCTACCTTGAGAAGGAGGAGCCTCAGGTGCAGGCAGGATGTTCTGAAGGGCAGACAGCACATCTGGGTCTGAGGACTTGGATTCTGCCACCTCTGATCTTTTCTGTCTGAACCTTTATCCAGATATTGACATGAAATGCATGTCTCAACAGAATCTCACCATTTGGGTGTTCTGGGCTTTCTTTTAGCAATGTTCTCTCAATCTCATTTTCAACCAGATTTGATAGTCTAGTCATGGGAATATGTTAAAGTAAGGCTCCTAGTTACACCTTACCTGTAAGTTAGAATTTGTTTCAGCTGCAGGTACCAGAAAACCTGTCAGATACTTGCTTAAATAAGGAAATATCTTATTTGTATGTATGTATTTGTCCCAGGCAGAAAGAAGTCCCTGGCTAGCCTGGGGGTTCAGACTGTTATTGAAGAATCAGGTTCCTCCTGTCTTTTCTGTTCTGCCAGCTTTATGAATAGCTCCTGCTGCCCCTTGCACCTTACGCACGCTTCTTCCAGGCAGGTCAAGGGAGAAAGCCAAAGCTGCAGCACTGACAGACTTGTATTTACAATTGCATGAGCCAGGATCGCAGCGCCTCTAGCTGCAAGGAAGTCTGGGAACCTGAGCTCGAAACTTGCTCCTCTCAGTAGCAGAGGACAGCAAGTAGAAGAGGTGTTGGGTGAGTCAGCCTGCAAATGTCTGCTGCACAGCTGCAGCCCATTACATGTAAGACTTTAGGCTCCTAAGTTAGCTGTTGAGTATGGTTCAACTTGGCTAAAACAGTAACACATACAGACATGTTTGGAATGTTTATCCAAGCGTACAATTTAGCATTGGAGGGATCTTTCAGTTAGATGGGCTTCCCTTGATAGCTCAGTTGATAAAGAATCTGCCTGCTATGCAGGAGACCCCATTCGATTCCTGGGTTGGGAAAATCCACCAGAGAAGATTTAGGCTACCCACTCCAGTATTCTTGGGCTTCCCTTGTGGCTCAGCTGGTAAAGAATCTGTCTGCAATGCGGGAGATCTGGGTTCGATCTCTGGCTTGGGAAAATCCCCTGGAGAAGGTAAAGGGCTACCCACTCCAGTATTCTGGCCTGGAGAATTCCATGGACTGTATAGTCCATGGGGTTGCAAAGAGTAAGACACAATTGAGTGACTTTCATTTTCACATTCAGTTAGATGACCTTAAATATGTGGGAATGGAGCCTAAAGAGGTACATGGACTTATCTGAAGCCACAATGCAGCTTGAGTGGTGGCTGAGCTAGGATGGAAATTTACTTGTTCTTGTTGCCATGAAGTCAGTCCATTGTTCTTTCCAGTTCATTTCCATGTCTGCTAAAAGGGGACATGAATCACTCATCACTTCTCTTAAAGTTATACAAACTTAGAGCTGTGAGGTTTCCAGTGAGGGTGCTGAGCGCTGGAAAGAGGAGTCATTACAGTATGAGACAAGCTGGTGTGATGATGCGAGGTGAGATCTCTCATCTGTGGAGGGACTGTGCTTTATGTTTCAGCATCTTGTGGGGACTTAGCTGTTACAGCAGGAAGCAGCTGGCTGCTGACAACCTGAGTCCACAAGCCCTTCAGTGTTTGGGTATAAGCCATCCCCATTTCCCTTGACTGTGGCTTGGGATGTTGTTCATGATCTCCTTGAGACTCTGAATAAGTTTGCAGAAACTATTAATAATACGGTAACTTTCTCCCCCTTTCATCTTAGGTGTTGCTGTGATTCACAAGCCCTTGTGACCCCAACTCCCACTGCCAGGAGGTGGAGGAAGGGAGGGGTGCTGCCTGTGACTCAGCGCAGCAGGACCACGCTGGTTGGATGCCACTCGCTGCCGGAGTCTGCAGTGGGGCGGGAACTGCCCTCCTCTAACTTGGCAGTATTGTCTGGGTGGGAAGACAGTGATTGACTCCTGGCTCCCATGAGGTGTTTTGTCCCCTGCCCTGAGCAGTGGGTTCCTGATAGTTCTGGCTGCACCTTTGAGCACTGTGTGTGTGTGTGTGTTTCTATAGGGGTATTAGAGAAGCTGGAACTTTTGTGTGTATGTGTGCAAGAGTGTGTGTGTGTACATGCGTGCGCAGAACCTTTTGCTTCACTAAGTTGGAGGATGATGACAGTCTACTCCATTTCTGTACTACTGATCCTTCTGCTGTGCTAAAAAACAAGTCACAGAAGCCTCTCTTCTGGATTGGCCCATGGGGACCTTGAGACTACTAAAGCTGCTGTCTACTGGAAGTGCAGTTGGACACACCAGGAATGTCCAGAAATGACCAGGCCTATGTACTGGCCTAGACCACTGGCACTGTCTGCAGAGGAGCGGGGCTCCCCTGAAGCTGCCCTGCGTCCTCTGTGTGCTAGAACTAGGACCGTGGGTTCTCCAGCCCCTCAGCTGGGTGCTCTTCCCTCACCTCTTCTCCCGGAAGTTCTCGTCAGAACTGCCTGGTCTCTGGGCCCCTGGTCATTGATGTAATGGATTCCAAGTTTGGAAGATTTTGTGTCTCTTCAGCTGAGAAAACTAGCTCTTCAGTGAAGCACTGAATAACACACTGGAGAAAAAAAATACGTGGGAGACAAAAGCAACAAAACCAAGTGGTAGGGCTTTAGTCCTTGCCCATAGTGGTCTCAGAGAAGACCCTACTTCTGGTTTTTCCCGGGATAGGACAGCCTCTGTTTATACTTATTATCCAGATTTAATTATTCAGAGCATCCCATTTTACTCTCATAAGTGTTCTGGTTTGGTGGTGATGTAAAAGGTCACCCTACCTCCAAACCCAAAGATAGGTTTTTCCTTGCACTGGTTGGAGTCATGTATGATTCACATGGACACGGATGACTTTAAAGGGGTGTACTGGCTGGCCCTGGCCCTCAGCCGTCTGTGAGGAAGGTTCTAGTCTGTCTGACACCCTTGTCCTCCTTTCCTGTACTCTCCCCCTTTCCAGGCCTATACTGTCTCTCCAACCCTCAGAAATCCCACTCCTTGCTTCCATGAGGGAGGACATGGTGGTAGGCCCTGGATGTGTGATGTCTCTCAGGAATACTTGCATTTTGAGAGAGGAGCTTGATGAAAGCTTTGCTAATTCACAGGTGAAAATGATTAATGACAGAACTTCAGACATCTGGAGAGGGGTATTTGAGGGCGCACAGACTCACTTGCATTAAAAAAAAAAAAGGAACCTTAAGGCTGTACTGTTCCTGAACTATCAAGTTGCTTATATTGGAATTTCCAGCATAAGGAGGGGAGATCTTATGTCTGGAGCAGCCTCACAACTTTGGGGGCTGGGATTTACCCTTCCTGCTGTCAGAGTCCACCCTTAGGGAGCCAAGGAGCTTTATGAACAATGACGTTGGACTTCTGATACAACTGGGCCCCTTCTAAGCAGATGTTGCAGGAGGCTGGCATTCTCCCCACTTCACCCCAAGTTAGAAACCCAGGACCCTCCCCAGCGAGTTGGCCACTCTGTGTATTTACTGTATATTTATTGTGCACGAACCACTCAACTCTCTTGAGGGGGAAGCATCTCCTTATGATGTTGAGCAGATATTGTATCAGCGAGATGTTTGGAGAACACCAAGGCACCCAGGGTCTTTAGCAGCCTTGGGAAGAGGCTGAAATATCCAGCTTTTATGGACCTAGAAGAATAGTTCCAAAGAGCCAAAGAGATCAAGACATGCTGTTAGCTGGACGTTCCACCCTTACCTGGCACAGAGGTGGCTGTGGTTTCAGAGCTCTGCCTGACTCTGGATCAGAAGCTGAAGGAATGTGCTTTCTGTTCCAAATGTTGTTCCCCTCCCTCTCTGAGGAAGGTTTGGGACTTTGTTTCAGGCTGTGTGTGTGTGCGTGTGTGTGTGTGTTGGTGATAAGGTTGGGGGTTGGGGTCTGATGCGTGCTGTCACACAGCTCCTGATTTCAGATGAAACGTGAAGTACCTCCCAACACTTAGAAGCTGAACTTTCATGCTTATCATGCTTGTGTAGGGGAGGCTACTGTTCATGGTCATCTTCCCACAGAGTGTCCCCTCCATGAGAGCTAGCCAGTATGTTTTCTCCTTTTGGATTTTTGCTGTTGGCCCCTTCTTACGTCTCCCTGCCCAGGAAGCACTGCCCCTGTTGGCAGTGTTCTGAGGCTGTGTTCATCTCACCTCCATGCGTCCTTTCTCACGGGGACTAGAACACTGGTACGTCATCACCAAAAAGCCAATGTGCTATATCTGCCCACAGATGCCATCCAAAACTAGCTCTCCCTTTACCACCATATGATTTTCTCCCTACAGTGGGCACAACAGACTTATTTTCAAGTCTGTGCTGGTCATGTGGTAGGTGAGCCCCCCATACCCCTATTCTGATGGCCACAACTGCTTGTGAATGCCGCTTTGCCAGTGGTGTATCTAAAGTCTGATCACAGTAATGAAATGGAATTGCCGCTCAAGGTTAGAAGCAGCTTAGACTCTGCTTGGATACTGATTTGGACAACAGAGAAGTCAGACTCTGAATTCCAAAGTTATTTCTCTTAAGTACCCAATGGCATCTCTCCATCTAAAAAGTTGCAGTATTATGCAAATGAAAGTGACCTCATTTTCTGCTATGCAATAAGAATACTTAATTCTTTTTTGTGACTAACCAGTTGCAATATCCCCTAAGATGCTTTCTGAGCTGTCTTACTTTGATATCTGTTGTGTAATGTTTGTATCTTCCTGAGCCAGATGCTTTCAAAGATTGCCTTTTTATAAAACTGAAGCTATAGCTTTCAGGCTAAAGTTTTAATGTAGATATTTTTATAAAATAATTTTTCACAATATTTGAATTGCTTTTTATTATCCATGATAATGAAATGTTATGTTCTATTGTGTCATTGTCTCTAACATCATTCATGCCTGTAGGTATTTTCCCTTTGTTTCTCGCCTTACCCAATCTGATTTTTCAATAGCTCCAGGCTGACTTGGAGGTTTCTTTCTTAACACCACATGCAAGGGAGATTGCAAAAAAAACCACACAAATCACTGGTGTTTCTTCAGTTGTTTAGGGTTTAACATTAAGCCTGAAGCAGCACTTACCCATCTATGATGCCTGTCTGCTTTTTCTGGAGACAGGCTTTCAGCAGGGGTGAGGCAGGGTGAGTCTGGTTGGCCCATCTCCTGGCATCTCTCACGGTCTGGCCTGGAGTTTGGCATGGAGAAGCCCAGGGAAAGGCCTGCCCTTCAGCATATACTCCAAGGAGGTTCTAGGCCCAGCTGACTAGTCTTCATTCTTTCCTATCTCCTTGTTCTTCAGAGCTTCAGGACTAAGCCCTTTGCTGCTGGATGATATATGTCTCTTGAGAAAACATCTTGTCAAGGAACTTGAAAAGAGTGGTCATGGTCCCTGCTAAGAATGTGATCAGCATGTGCTTTGCAGATGTCCATACTACACTTACAACTTACTAGTCTCTTGAGCTGTGTCTACACTCCAGGCTCGATTTTGTGTATTTATCTGCCAATTAGTCTCATTTAAAGAATCTTTATTATTTTTGGGACAGGTGCCATTTGACTTGCCTCTGCGCTCCCCATTCGTACCTTGATGGATCAAGTTGGGAAGCTGAGCAAACTCATAATCCAATTAGTTGGAGTTTTTCTGTTTGCCTAGAGAAGCGAGGAGATTAGAATGTATTTTTTTTTAAGTTTTTGCACTATTTAGAGTCCTAAGCCCCTCATGTTCAGCCGTGCTGTGTGTCTATTGACCAAGCAGGAGAGCTCGCAGCACTTCCGACATTTGGGAGTGTCAGAGGCCTCTTCTGTAGTGGGTAATCACCACCTCAGGGCCCCTGTGCAGCTCTTGTCATGGGGCTCGTGATTTACAGATTCAGCATTGGCCAAGGAAGTAATGCATGGGACTGGAGCATTTGGAGCAACAAAAGTGTCCCAGTGCTACGTTCTCACCTTTGGTTATGAGATTTCAAATTATCTTACCCCCCTTTCAGTGGCAATAAGAACCTTTGTTGGACTTCTTGTTTAATTCATACATAACATGTAAAATACTTTCTTTGAAAGCAAATTCAAGGCACTGAATCTGTATGTCTGTGTGGGTGCTGTGTCCGTGTGGCTGTCCATTGGCAGGCAGACTTGATCCCTGACGCCCTGTACACCACACTGCGTGAGTCAGGTCCTTGATCGGGTGTTCTCTGCTTGGATGGTAGGAACCACAGAGCTTGTGAAACACTTGTCACCTGCTCCATCGGTTACAGCGCTGGCTGAGGAAAACAGTTCCTCACATGTATTCTTTTAACAGGACTCGTGTTCTAGTTTCCTGTAATTTATGTTCCTTTAATTTTAATAAAAGCTGAACTGTGAGAATCTTTCTCAGTATTTCATTTTTGTCACCCAGCCTCTCTACCCTGTCTCAGACATGAAAAGGACAGACCCACTCTTGCGTGCTTTCAGTTAAAAAATATTTTTTCTTCAAGATGTACTGGACAGAGTCTGGGTTCCTTTGGTGTCTATTGTCTGGCACAGTGCCCGATCCATGAAGCTCTTCAGTGAGGCCCACAGAGGCCAGTCCCCTTAGTGGGTGTTCACGATCATGTGGACAATTGCCCGGTGATCACTATGAGGTGAGTGAAATGGTGTCAGGCACCAGAGAAGGAAGCAGAGATTTGGCAATAAATAAACACTGATTTTTTTTTTTAAAGTTTGTTACAAAAACTAGAGATTGTATAGATATTTTGTTAGGTTTGAATCATTAAAAATGCAAATATATTTTATCAAATATACAGAACTATTTATTAAATATATTGACTTATAAAATATCAACACACATGAAATAATAGTCACAGCTAACACTTACTGAGTATTTGCTATGTGCCAGCACTTTTCTAAGTACTTGACTTTTATCCATACATTTAATCCTTATCATGGTCTTCTGAGTTACTATTATTATCTTCGTTTTACAGATAAAGATGTGAGATGCAGAGGGGCTAGACAACTGCTTGAGGTAGCAGTGCTGCAGGATATTGGTCACTTTCCTCAGCCTGTCTCCTTAGTCTTCTCGCTCCAGCTGTGAGGAGGGGAGGAGGGTGTGCTGAGAAGCACCAAGGAGAGGGAGGCCCCAGGGGTCCCTGGGGAAGTACAAACTTGGCTCAAGAAAAATACTGCAACCCGAGTTTTCAGTCATTTGGACCAACAATGTCCCAGTGTTACATTAATGGCGAATGATCACACTTGTTACTGTAGTGACAATGGCACTAACCACTATTGATTGTATCCATCCTTGGACAGAAGCTTAGAGAGGTGAATCTAGTTGTCTGAGGGTGTGTGTGTGTTATAAGTGAGCAGGGGCACAGACCCAGATGGAAGCTATTTTGGTCCACAACTGAGTTTGAGAATCAGGCTGAGAAGAGGGCTTAGGACTTGCTTGTTTCCATCGTCATAATGACGAGCATTTATTGCACATTTGTTTGGCAGCAGGTCCTGGGCTTTAATGCCCACAGCACCTCATAGAGAGGAGTGATGCTCATGTCACAGGATCACAGGGGGCTAGTTACATGGCCTGTGGTCAGACAGAACCTCGAGAAGTGAGGCAGACCCTGTCCTGCTAGACTGCTTGCGAAGCTGCGGCACCCTTGATCCCAGTGGGCTGTACCTTATGTGAGCCTCCTACAGTGAGGAAGTTGCCAGCATCTGGCCCTCCAGGGCCATCAGGGCAGCAGAGCCCTGTGCCAGCCTGCTGTGGAACCGCCCTGGGGCCTTGTCACCCCTGCTGAGAGGATCCCGGGGAAGGACAGGTGAGAAATGAGTGCTAGGTGGAGCACACACACCGTTCCCTCCCGTTGACCCTTTGGCCTGGTTTCTTCTTTCCCAGAAGTTCCAGAGTGAGATTATATTTGGTAGCTTTACTACTAACTTATTCTACAATTTACAAATAGGGTCCTTTGACCTTACCTAGCTAGTTTATTTTAATACAAAATCTGTTTTTTCTGTCTGCCTTCTGAGATTTTCACTGAGTGGCCTGTGTCCCCCACTGACCACTCCTTTTTGCCCAGGCAACTTTCCCTATAAAATTCCATATCAAAGCCTATGGGGGGGGGGGGCACCTGGCTGGGACTCTGGACATCATCCAGTCCAGCCCCTGTGTTTGCAGAAGAGGAGCCTGGGACTTGGAGCTATAGACTGGCTTGAGCTCCTGTGGCAGAGCCAGGTACTCCAGGGTCCAGAGAGGCTACAGGGCTGTGCCTGCCTGCCTGTACCTGAGGAGGCTCTGGGGCTGAGAAAAAGCAGTGACTGCAGGCTTGAGGGCCACCACCCTCTCTGGCTTAGGAGAGAGGAGAGGTAGGTGGTCCTGTCATGGCAGGCCTGGTCTTTCTGACATTCCTGCCCTGTGGTCACTCTAGCTTCAAGGCTTGTTCCAGATGCTTCCTCAGCTGTCTGTGTCCTTCACTAGCTGCAGGTGGGAGGAACCCCTGCAAGAGGGGTTTCCCTGCAGGTGGCTGTGTGGTCTTCAGGGGACCCCTTCCCTCTCTCTGGGACTCAGTTCCTTATGTAAACAGAGGGCTTTTGTGTCCTTAGGAGCATTTACTCTACTTGCAGGGTCTTATTCTTGCTCCCACCTGACTGGGGAGGAGATGAAACTCAGAGAGGCCAAACTACAGTGGGGAGCTAGGATCTGAACCCGTATCTTCCATGAAAGTAGTTTTGGATGACACTGCTGCATGTGTATTTAAGCTTTTAGGCCACTGGACCCTGCCAAATACATGCATGATCAAGACTGGTGAATCTTCTAACTGTGAGTTTTATAAGGACTGGAAAAGTTGGCTTTAGACCTCTTTCCTTCTCTGTTTTCCTTCCCTTCCCATTCCCAGTTCCCAGCTGCCCCTGAAAGAGAACACCCCCACCCCATCTTTCCCAGTGAGGAGGGGGGATCTTTCATTCTCCTTTCACAGTATGTTCTACAAACATTTATTCATTCAGCAGAAATACATTCAGCACATTGTGTTGGCTACTTGAGATACAACTGCCAACAAAGCAGGAGGTCCCTGAGGACTGGAGGTTGGAGTTGTGCAAGGGACACAGTTGGTAAACAGGTACAGTATAGTGTGCTGGTCGGGGGGGGGGGGGGGGGCAGAGAAACATGCTCATCCAGAGAGAGACAAGCTCATAGAGACCTAGGGAAAGGGTGTAAGATTCACACAAAAGAAGAGAGAGACCAAGAGAGAGACTGAGACACACAGAGATAGAAACAGAGGGAGACAGAAACAATGAGTGAGATTCATGCACACTGCCAGAGGAGATGCCATTTGTATAGAAATACATAGGCAAGCCAGACAGAGCCAGCATCATTTCTTAAAGTGACAGGAGACAGGTCAGTCTAGAGCTTCATATCAGAAGCTTCTGAGTCTGGAGACATGAGTTCAAATGTGATCTTGGTCAGGTGGTCTTGTGGTTTAGAGCCAGTCTCTTTGTCTCTTAGCAGCAGTGCCCTCAACTGTAAGATACAGATGGTAGTACCAGTTTTGTGAGCTTTCGCAGAAGGTAACATGAAAAAGACCCTGAAACAGAAGGCAGTCACTCAAGGTTCCAGGGAGACTGGGCCTGGCAGAGCTGCCTCTGGAATGAGAAACCCGATTTCTGCAGCAATAGCACAGAGAGCATCCTGACTGCGTGTGGTCATCGCACCAGGTATGATGGAGGGGAGACAGACACAGAAAGGATGAAGCACTCTACCCCGAATCTTGTCTGGACTGGGGATGCACCCCAGGGAAACAATGCAGATGGGGCCTGCTTTCACCCGGCAGTCACGTGGCTTCTGTTTGTCACAACTGTTGTTTCAACTCCTTTTGTTTTCTCCTTTCCTCTGGGTGGTGGTGGGGACTTGTCTCATGAGTTTACTTCCTGCTCCAGGAGCAGAGCATCTTCCTGGATTTGATCCCACTGGCTTCACAGAACATGGGATTTAGTAGGCACCTGTGTAACCTTTTATTCCTAAGAAATTTCAAATGTGGTCTCATTTGATTCTCAAAAAAGGCCCAATGATGTGGCCACAGCAGGTATTATTTTGGGCAACATGTCTCTGCCCATTATATACAATGGTCACTTTCTCAGTGCAGTGGGTGGGGAATTTGAAACACTGCATGGTGCATGCACATAGCGGGTGATTTATTAGTGGTAGCAATTATTATTACTCTCATTGTTCTCTTTATACAGATAGGGGAAATGAGGCTAGAAACAGGTGAAGCAACTCTTTTAAATTCCCAATCCATTAAAGCTTGGACTTTATCACCCAAGACTGTATTTGGCTCAGTGTTACAACAAAATGACAATAGTGGCTTTAACCAAAGAGTAGGTTTTTATCCCCCCCAGATAACCACAAGTCTAGAGATAGGCATTCCAGGGCTGGCATAAGCAGTTCCATGGTGTCATTGGGATCCCAGGTCCTTCTGCCTTTCTGCTCTTCCATCCTTAGCATGTTGTAAGATAGGGGCTTTATAGCTCTTTTCATATCTGCAAAAGGCATGAGAAAAAGAGAAGGGGAGGTAGAAGGTACAGTACCCGTAAAAGGAAAGTAAAGTCTTTCCAGAAACTCCTGATAGTGTACTTCACAGCGCCTGCAGCTGCAGGAGAGTCAGGGGAGGTGAATGCTTTTAACTGGGCACATTGCTGTTCCAATCAAACTCAGAGTTCTGCCTGGGAGAAAGAAGGGTAGAATGGACATTGGGTAGATAATTGGCAGTGTTGGCCACAGTCAACGCTCCTATTAACCAAGTGCCATGTGGCTCCTGCTTCAATGGTCAGTCTCCTTGGAGCCAAAGCCTATGTCCTTTTGGTCCATTGTCCTGTAGTTATCTTGGCTGGACACTCAGCATGTGCAGGACCCTTGTCAGTGAAGGGCAGTGATGCTCCATGTGTGTTCAGCATCCAATGAGGGGGTGCAGAGCAGGGGCTCTGGGGCAGGGCTGGGTGGGGAAGGCTCCCTCTCTCGCCTCACTCAGCTGTCTGCTTGCTGTGTTGGCATCGAGGGTGAATATGCCTCTTGCACAATGAAGGAGACATTCTGAACAATGGAGACCTTTAAGAGCCTGTCACTGAGGCTTTAGGGACAGCTCGTTTATCAGTCAAGGATGCTTTCCTGAAGCTCTGATTGAGGAGGCCTGTCAGCTGCAAGATCTATGACCTTTATCTCTAGAATGACCCCCATGTGCAGTGCCATAAATCTTGCCGGGCCACAAACTGGGAGGTGGAGATGGGTGAGATTTGGTCTTGGCTTTTTGGAGGCACTTCCGCAACTTCCTTGTCATCCTGCCCACCTCCCCCGCCAACCCACCGCAAGCTATCTTCACATTTAATAGTAGCCCATTGAG